TATGTATGTATTTATCCTAAGCGTTGGTTGAGCAAAAAGGACAGAAATTGACCATTTTGAATCAGACAGTTACATGAAGAGGAATAGCATTGTGTTCTTCATTAAAAGAGCACAAGGTCTATCTTGAAGTACAATAGTGTCTATGAAAGGATAATACCCCCATACACCTACAAGGAAGACCAGTTAATACCACTATTAATCAAATTGATGCACCAACCACTAAAGTCAGTGATGATGAAATTGAAGAATTCTATCAACAACTTTGCAGTCCTGGTGTGGTGCTGCAGGATAATGTGCTGGATCAAAAAGTTTGAACCGCAAGGTCGGTGATTCAAACACACCAGCTGCTCCTCGGAAACCCTATTCAAGGTTACTATGGGTTGGAACCTACTCAACAGCACTTAACAACAACAACAACAACAATCAGCAGCTTCAATGTGAAAATCATCCATATCCAATCAACATGTATTGATAATTTCTGGTGACTGGAATGTAACTGGATAATTTCTGGTGACTGGAGGATCTTTGATTAGAAAATACAGCTTTGGTGATAGAAACAGTTTGGAAAATTACATGATAGAATTTTGCAAAACCAACGACTTACTGTAAATACCGTTTTTAACAACATAATATGGCAATTATACACATGGACTTCATCAGTCAGAGTACAGAGGAATCCAGTAGACTATATTTGTAGGATGAGCCAATGGAGAAGCTCAATAACATCAGCCAAAACAAGGCAAAGGCCCATTTGTGGAACCAACAATCAGTCGCTCATATACAACTTCAATGTGAAGCTGAAGAAAACTAAAACAAATCCACATGAGCCAAACTAAGATCTTTAGTATACCCCTCCTAAATTTAAAAAACATCTCAAGAAGAGATTTGATATATTGAACAATAATGACTTAAATCAGAAGAGTTGTGAGATGACATCAAGAACATCATGCATGAAGAAAGCACGAGAATAAACAAGATGGTGGATTCGGTGGCAATGCAGTGAGGAGCTCCGTATGCAACAACACAGAATACCGGACCAAGCAGGCTCAGGGGATGGTGCCAGAACTCTGAATCACATATAAAGGAATACTTAGAAGGTTGGAAGGGGAATTTGTAGCAGAAGCAAAAAATCCATTGCTTCCTAATGCACGGCACTCGGCTGCTCCCGGAGCCTCCATCTGGGGAGAGACCAAGCGGGTAAAAGATAAGAGCAGCCACGGATGTCTGACAGAATCGCAGAGATAAAGGTATGGACATTCTTTTTTTTTTGTATATGTTCATTGGTCTCTCGCAATCTGCGCACTTCCGTTCTGGGGACTAGAGAGAAAGTGGACACCTGACCCCCACCCCCAGAGGGTTCTGCTATGTATGCACACATATCTCCTCAAAATTTTAAGTGACAGTTTCCACTTAAAACCAAACAGCAATGCAAAATGGCCACAGCCAGCCCTGAACTGTTTATCACTAGGAAAAAGGCCTGAATAGGGGTTGTGGAGTGGGACAGCCAGACTGAAAAGGAAATAGGAGGAAAATTAAATCCTGAGTTACATCACAGTGACCAAAAGTGGCATCTTGAAATTTCTCAGGAAAAAGAATGAAAAGGGAAGCCCATCTCCTAATCACATCTACGTGGAGGCAATCAGAAAGCACAAAAAATACCAACATACACACCCATCTAAGTATTAAGGCCAGAGTACTAACTCCTGAATATGCCCCAAAAATAGAAACAGCATGTCCAGAAACAAGATAAAATGACTGAAGCAAATGGGCTGAAAGTAGACCTACACTCCACAGTGGAAGATGTGCAGGCTTTGGAAATGCCTGAGAAGGAATTCAGATAAATGATTATAAAATGTATCAAAACACTATACAATGGAGTTGGTAAAAATAAGGAAGAATTTAGGAAAGCGCTACAGGAACAATCAAATAAGATAGCTACAGCATTGGAAACAATTCAGAACCTTCAGATAGAGATCCAAACGATTAATAATAGAATATCAGAAATGGACAATACACTGAAAGGGCGAAGGAGTAGAATGGAAGAGATAGAAGGCAGAACTAGTGAGCTAGAAGGAAAATCTCTCAACACGACTAAGATAGAAGAGCAAGTACCAAAAAGGATTAAAAAAATATGAAGACTGCCTAAGATTCATGTTGGACAACATGAAGAGGAATAACTTAATAATTATTGGTATTCCGGAACAGAAAGCTTCACACAAGTCCACAGAAGAGATAGTCGAATAGCTTCTGGAAGAAAATTTCCCTAACATCCTGAAAAGCGAAAAGGTAAGCATTCAAGAAGCTCAACAAACCCCAGGAAGGATAGACCCTAAAAGGTAATTACCAAGACGTATAATAATCAAGCTCTCCAAAATCAAAGATAAGGACAGAATCCTGAAAGCAAGTAGGGAAAAGAGAAGTGTAACATACAAAGGGAAGCAAATCAGATTAAGACTGGATCTCAACAGAAACCATGCAGGCAAGAAAGCAATGGGGAGACATATATAAAACCCTGAAAGAAAAAAACTGCCACCCAAGAATCCTCTACCCAGCAAAG